CTATTCTGGACCGAAAGGTTCAGCAGTTGAGGAGCAGAGATGTAGTGCTCGTTCGAGTCCAGTGGACTCGCCACGGCGAGGCCGAGGCCACGTGGGAGCGAGAGGAGGAGATTCGAGCTCGCTATCAAGATTTCCAGTTCTGATTAGTAGTATCGTATTATGTATTTTCAGTTTCTAGTTTTAGTCGAGTTGGCCTTATGTTTAGTTTTGTCATTTCCGGGGACGGAAATGTTTTAAGGAGGATAGATTGTAACACCCCCAGACCAAAATTATATTAGTAGCTCGACTTATTTATCGAAATTAGTATTATTTTTAATTATGCAGAGAATTATTAATTATAATTGCATAATTTATTTATTTTCAAGCCCAAGTAGTATTTTTAATAATCGAGCCTAGTAGCAATTATATTACCGAGCCCGACATTATTTATTTGGTCTAAGTAACGGTATTTATTTTCCTAAATCGAGCCCAAGCTATTAGGCCCGATACTAAGCCCAACAAGAGCAAAACCCTAAGCTCCTCACCATCTATAAATACCATGTCTCCATGTCTCCCAACACACCAACAAAAAACCCTAGCCCCCAAGTTACTATTCATCCATCTTCACCACCTTCATTTCAAGATCCAAACACCAACACCATCTCCAATTCTAAGATCTAAGCTAGTAAACATTCCCAAGCTCCAACCATGGCTTGACCCTTAGTCCGGCCGACCAGATTTCCGGCGAACCTTCCCGCCGGCGAAGCTCAGCCCTAGCCCCGAGCTCGCACAACCCCAGTTTCTTGGTCCACAGCTCACCATCGTCCAGCTCCTCCACGACAAGACCATCCTCAGCCCGCAACAGCGACTTTCTTCCCCAGCTCGCGTCATTCTGGCGAGCTTCCATTTCCAGCGTCCCAGCCACGCGCCGCTGTCCCTGCCAGCTTCCAGCTCATCGCGTGTCCTCCACCAAAACCAGAACCAGCTAACGTCGCTGCTGCCCATCCCGCCGTCGAGCAGCATCTCCTCCACGCGAGCTAGCACCGGCGACAGCAAGCTCGCGACCACCACCACATTCCGGCGAGCTCACGCCGCCCTCCTTCCCGACGAACCAGTAGCCCGCGTCCCGACGAGCAGACCAGCAACCAGCGCGACCTCGGCCCGAACAGCAGCCCAGCCCCTCAGATCCGCGAGTTTTGGTCCCGATCCGCTCGACCTGACCAGAACCGAGCCATACACGACCAGCTGAGCTTCAGTCTGAGCAGGTTCAGCACAGACCCGTGCAGCCCCGACCCGAACTTGTTGCCCGATCCGTTTTTCAAATAGCCGAACCATTCTCCTAGTCTTTATCAAGTTCCGATTTCCGATTTGAACCCTTCGAGAGGTATATCGGCTTAAACCTTACTCCATAAGCTTAATTGAGTATTTAGATGAATTTTAAAATTTACGGGAGGTGATTTCGATCATTATAAGATTTATGGTGAATTTATCGGCTTAAATGACATTAAATTCCGTAAATATTGGTTGCTGCCCGGAAAAATGCGAAACTAGCGTGATAAAATTCGTATAGCTGACTTGAGGCCTAGGTTTTAATTTCGTAATTTTTGGTGCTCGTTTAGTATGTTAACTGGATTTTTGAATATGTAGCTGAATGCCCGATTTTTGATAAATATGATAAAGACCTCGAAATTCGATGCAACTTCCACGAAAAATCTTATAAATGCTGAGTATGACGTGGTTTAAATTTCATAATTTTTAGAGGTTGTTTGGTATGCCTACAAATTCGAGACTTTAGCTGCTTTGGTGAAAACCCTAGATTTTATCCGGTTGAGATTTAGCTAAAATCACTAGAAATCAAGTTGAACTTAAAGTTTTAGTTTTTTTGGACTTGAACCGAGATAGA